GTGGCAGTCATTCACAGCCCCTCACAATGGCTGCCAGCTGGCTGGACCCACTCATCCCTCAGCTGAGATCTGCAGGCTGCCCAGATGCTGCCCAGGCATATTTGTGTGGGGTGGGAGGGTGGGGGTAGCAGGAGAAGGCAAAAGGCTTTTTTTGTTGTTTTTGCATTTTCTCCTAGCTCAGTGTCTTCATCGTGTAATTAAAACTTCTTTGTCTAATGCCTCTGAAAGCCAACTGGAGGGTCAGTTTTGAGTCTGTAACTTGTAATGTGTACAGAATATCTAAAAGCTTAATGCCACTCCTGACTGCCTTGAGAAGAGATAGCATGCAGTACTTTCTCATCCTCAGGTAACAATCTGCACCAGTCCACAGAAAACTCAGAACTTCCTTCACATGAAATTCTAGTACACAAGTACCTTGTAATAAAATGCAAGGAGACTTACTCTGTATCCTGAAGTTTTCTGTCCTTGAATAATTTTTCAACAGTGTTTGGGGGTTTGTTTTCCTGATTTGTTATTTGGCTCTTACACACACACACACACACACACACACACACACACACACACACACACACACTCTTTCCTTCATTCACATTGTGTTTCATACAATCATTCCCATCACTGCATTTTTTGGTTATTTTTTTACTTTTTATTTTATACTGGTTTACTTAATAAAGTTTGTGTACTTCATTTTTCATGCCGAATCTTTCCCATTTCCTTTATCCACTTCTCCTGCCCCATCAATTTGTGCAACCCTATGATTACACACACCCTACTCCCACCCCACAGACTTCCCCCCTCCCCCACCCTTGTATCCTCATACACATTCTATAAAATGATCTTATACAGTGTTCTATGGGGGTGAGTTAGTTCACTTAGCATAATGCTTTCCAGTCCCTCCCAAGTTAGTTCCAAAATCATTGCTCCTGCACACTGTGTAATATTCCATTGTGTGAATGTATCACATCCTGGAGAGGGTTAAACCAGGCTGCTCCTTGGAAGCAAGGATTCTGGGGCTTCATCTGACATACTTTGGACATGTTATAAGAAGGGACAGGTCCTTGGAGAGGGACGTCATGTTTGGGAGGGTGGAGGGATGGCGTAGGAGGGGAAGACCCTCTATGAGCTGGATTGATTCAGTGACTAGGGTAATCGGGATGAGTGTGTCAGAGGCAGTGAGATTGGCACAGGACAGAGCAGGGTTTAGGGATGTTGTATATAGGGTCGCTATGATTTGCAAGCCACTTGATAGTACATAACAACAACAACAACATTTGATTGTGGTTGGATATTTGGGCTGTTTCCATGTCCTTTCCATAGTGAGTAATGCTGCTATGAACATTGGTGTGTAAGTCTCCGTTTGTGCCTCAGTTCTCATTTTTTCAGGTTGTATTCCAAGCAGTGGAATAGCTGAGTCATAAAGAATTTCTGTGTTCAGCTTTTTGAGGAAATGTATTTGGTTCTTTTTAGGTGTGGATTTTTTGTTGTTGTTTTTTGTAATGGGCTTTTTTAATGTGATGCATGTCACTTAACCACCTCTGCCTTGGTTGAGTAGGAGAGTATTAGTGACCCCTTAGATGAGTGCTGAAATAGCTACATCTTCTTATAGTATTTGCACTTCGCAGTATCAACCTCAGGGGGGCACCAAATCTCCCAGCACTGTCTTCACAGAGAAAGGCCAACATTCCAAGTTTGATCTTTCCTGTTGGGAATGCAGGGCCGTGCCCACAGTCAGAGGTAGAGGGAAGCAGGAGTGCGACCCCAGAGCAGTAGACTGGGAATCAAACTTGAAGTCACTGCTCTTCCAAGGCTAAGCTGGGGAACAAAAGAGGATTTTGGTTGGGTGAGTCTTGTTCAGTATCTAGGGCTGGGCATCCTTGTATAATCTGCTTCCTCCTGCTCTTGAATCCCAACGTCTCACAGAGAGTGTGCGAATTTAACACACAAAAGTATATTTTATGCTTTTTTTAGTAAAGCTAAAAAAAATACAGATTTGTCATTAATTGAACAATAATTGCATCATGGAGTACTAAAAAAATTGCTTGTAACATATCATGAGCTCTGGTGGCCTATAGGCAAGAAACTGTGCTGCAATCCCAAAGGCATGGGGTTCAAAGCCACTAGTTGCTCCAGGGGAGAAGGATGGGCATTTTTCTCTTGTGTGACTAACTGCCTCTGAAAACCCACTGAAGGTCAGCAATTGGTTGCTTCCAGCTCGACAGTATATAACAGCAACATAAGCACATCTGGTAAAAATTAAAAGATGCAAATCTGTTGAAATATACTTAAATAAACAAAATAGATCCTTATATGTAAAAATAGTAGTCTATTTTATTATTTTTAAAGTAGAAAAGAAAGTTTTCCTTTAAAAACCCTCAATGGAAGCTGTGGGTAAGAGGAACTATTAAAAAAAAAAAAGCTTACGAGGGAGATTTTAAAATCAAAATCCCTGCCAGTCTTTAATAAGGTTTCTTCTGCACCATCCTGTCTGTATTAATACTAAACCAAGTTGTACAAACCAGAGAACACCCCTAGGGTTAGGCATACTTGGAAAGAAAGAAACCAACAAGGATAGTAGATAAGTGAGGTGATGCAACTTGAAGTCATTTAAGATGCTTAGTCAATCTGTTTTGCTAGAAAACATTGTTATTTTTGTGTACCATTAAATCAGAACTGACCCATAGCTGACCCTTCATTGGGTTTTCAGAGGCAGTAAATCATGTAGGAGGAGATTGCCTATCTTTCTCCTATAGAACAGCTGGTGGATTTGAACCATATGCCTTTGAACTGGCAGTCTAACACTACAATTATTTATAACATAAAATTACAGGCAAGCTCTGTATTTTTCTGGCAAATTGAGCTAAAACTTTTTTTTTTGCTTCGATAGTAGATTAATTTTATGGCTTGGCTTAGAAACATTCCTCTTCCCCTTTTCTTTTTTGCCATATAGAAATCCTTAAGAGTTAGTTCTGAATGATCTTCTACTAACATCAAACTTAGATTCTGGGCCCTTAAACCATTTAAAATAAAAGGAAATGGGTCCATGTTACTGTCCCGTGTTTCATTTCCTGTTGGGATAATGAGCTTATATGAGCCTCCGGGTGTAGACCAAGGCTGTCTGGACTGAAACACTGCTCCAGAACAACTATACTGTCTATATATGAAACTTTAAAAATTATTCTGGCAAACTTAAGTGAATCACATATACTTAAAATGCTGTTTTCCTCTCCCTTGTTTGATTTTTTCCATTATGAACAAATAGACACTTATTAATACTTTCTAGGTGCATATCCAATAATATATATGTTAGTATCTCTGTTATTATTTGTAGTGAGGCTGAGAAGCAGGAAGATTAGCTTACTTGCCCAAGATCAAAGCCAAAATACTTTGCTGTTCCTTGGAGGAACTACTAAATAACTTTCTTGAATAGATCCTAAGTTTACCTACGAAAATTTCTAGGTTTCTGTAGGGTAAAAAATAAATGTCAGTGAAAGACTACGAAGTGTGAGAAAGAAGAAAAGTTTAACTCCCATATTGTGAATAGTAGATATTTACAAACTATAAATCACATATCTCTCCTACAGATCATTGAAAGGAAATTCATCATTTTCAGCAGGCTACTCTGAGATGGCTTGTAGTGGAGGTATGTGAGCACTAGATAGCACACATTCAGTGTTAGAACCAACACACCAGTGCAGTCCTGAACTACAATGAGGTGTGTGGATAGCACCGTTCTTTCTTCAGGATGATCAAGAAGACTTGAGAAGCAGAGCTTGTCATTTATTTTTCTTAATGAGGGACCTATGAAAAATTCTTTCCTAAAGCAAACATATTATGGCCAGATGGAATGTCCTGTAAACCGTAATCCACTATCTTTTAGATACTTTTCTAAAATATGTTTTAGGATGCAAATGACTATTTTAATCTGACTTAATCTCATTCACTGAGCTTAAAAGATAGATACAGAACCTGGGTCTGGCCCACTGAACCTTAAACTGCAGGACACCAGAGTCTGCACATTTAAACTCCCCTAAGCATGTCACAAAGATATTCCAGGATTCTCAGAAACACCTTTAGGATAGGACTGTGGACCTCGTGTCTTCCAGAATTATGCATGTGGTTGTCTTAAGTTGCTGCATTTATAGTGCACTAAAGTATGACATTATTTTGTCCAATCTGATAACAAGTTTTCCTAAGTAATAATTGCTATGTTATTATACACTCACTACATAATAAATTAAAACCCCAAACATCCTGTCATTGTTTTGACTCTGACTCATGTCCACCCCACCTGTCACCGGGTGGACTTTCTTGGACATAATCTATTTAGAAGCAAATTGCCAGACCTTTCTTCCATAGCACCCCTGGGTGGGTTTAAACTATCAACCATGAAGTGGTAAATGCACATAGACTGAAATTTTCACTATGTAATAAGACTCAGAAACAACTCATTGGTGTCAAGTCAGAACCAACTCATAGCTGATCCTCTCACAGGTTTTCAGAGGCTATAAATTGCATGGGAGAAGATTGCTTATCTTTCTCCCACAGAGTAGCCAATAGATTTGAACTGCGTGCCTCTGGGTTGGCAGCTCAACTCCTCACCTTCTAGGTCACCAGACCTCTCTGTGTGGCCCAGAGTTGATGCTGACCTGGGCCTTTGAAGAGATGCTACATAGGCATGATCATTGTAGCTACCCTACAACACAGGCAGGATCTGTCTTCATGCAGTATGTTCACAGAGGAGTCTTTACATTTACTTGATGAATTTGACTCATTCTTCTGGATCATATTGTCTTATGAAAAGTTTGAACATACAGAACATAGGAGGGGGAATAAGGCTTAGCTATACTCAAGGAGGACATTGTTTATGTGTCTACAGAACTGTTTCTAGTTATCTACCCAGAGAGAATATATTCACTTTCTAGTCACCTGCAGTCAAGGGCAGTTCTTTTAATCAAGGAGAGCACTGATATATTTATTTCCTTTGATCTTTTCCACTGCAGCCTCAAGCCGCCTGTCATCCGGCCATATTCAGAATCGTGGATGAGATGTTCAGGTAAATATTGTCTCTTCTGCTGATCATCCATTTCTAAGCTTGCACAGAAAGGCTGTGGGAATCTCCACATAGATCATGGCGAAATTCACTTTTTTTTCCCATTTCTTCCCTCCCCCCCCCAAGCTTTTTGGTTATTGTTTTTAGGTACCACTGAGTCAATTCTAACTTGTAGCAAGCCTCTGAACAACAGATTGAAACTTGCCTAATCCACAATTCCAATGAGAATCCCTCTTTTCTATATTATATTACTATGCCTGGTACTTTTACTTGATTGTAAGCATCCTGGCTCCCTGTCCTCTGCTTTGTGTTTTGTTGAGTTTCTCCCCCCTCCGTATTTTTATTGGTATGCATTAAGTTTTCATGTACATTGTGTTTTACTCATGTACATGTCAGTTTTTCTTGACCGTGAACAGACTTCATGTGGGCAGTCTTTCTTTAGTCTTCCTTATTCTTCATACAACTTTTACATGCATATAAAAAAAACTGAAAATCCCATGGATGGGCATTGTCCTCAAGTCCAGTGCCATCAGTGATAGAACAATACTCATATGCATACAAGAAAGACCTATTAACAAGGTAATTATTCAGATGTACATACCAACTACTAAGGTAGGAGATGAAAAAATTGAGAATTTTGACCATCTTCTTTGGTCTGAACTTAATAAATGTGTCATTAAGATACATAATAATAATTGGTGACTGGATGCTGTCAAGGTGACTACAACTCAGCAACTCTATGACCTACAGATCCAAACTGTGATCCTCTTCTGCACCATCTTCACAATTTCCCCATGTCCAAGCCTATTGTTGTAGTCACTGTATCATTTCATCTAGTTCAGGATCTTTCTTTCTTTCACTAACCCTCCACCTTTCCCAGCATGATGTCTTTTTCCAAAGGCTGACCCCCTCCTAACAAACTGCCCTAAGTGGATTGGACTAGGTTTCACTATCCTTGCCTCTGATGAGCACTCTGTTTACCCTTCTTCCAAGACACAGTTATTTGTTCTTTTTTGTAAGTCCATGGGATATTCAATACCAACACCACAATTCAAAGTCATTATTAATTCTTCATTCTTCCATATTCACTGTATAACTTGAGATGCTTACAAAGCAATTAAAAATATCATGGCTTGAATTAGATGGATTTTAGTCTTTAAACTGGATGTGCTAATACTTACCTGGCAAGGGAGATACCATGATCACAAAGGTGGTTTTCCTAGGGCAAGGCTTATGCACGTCAGAGGTGCTGACCCCTGCGATTTCCCCAAATAAAACTTGACTGCATAATTTGTGATAGTGGGGGACTGCATTCATGCTTTTTTTACTTTTCAAAGAGAATAGCGAACTGGAGGGGAGGTTGGGTAAAGAGAAAAGTGAAACAATGAATGAATGGAAATCCAAAGTCTTGTAAACTTCACTAAAATTAAAATAATATCATTTAAAAACAAACAAACAAAAAAACCAAACTGGATATGCTCACCAAGTTGTGCCAAGAAATCTGGAGGACAGTTACTTGGCCATCTGACTGGAAGAGTTATTCCCATTCCAAAAATAGGTGACTTGACAGAATGTGGAAATTATCAAACATTATCGCTATTATTACACACTAAAAAGTACTATTGAAGATTATCCAGAAACAACTGGGACAATACACTGACAAAGAACTACCAGAAATAGAAGCCAGGTGTAGAAGAGGTCATGGCACTAGAGACATTATTGCCAAAGTCAGATGGATCATGGCAGAAAGGAAAGAGTACCAGAGGAATGTCTATCTGTATTTCATTGACTATGCAAAGGCATTTGACTGTGTAGATCATAAGAAATTGTGGTTAACGTTGAGGAGAATGGGGATCCCAGAACATTTGTTTGTGCTTATTTGAAACCTGTACTTGGACCAGGAAGCAGTCCTCAAAAAAAGCAGAGAAACACTGCATGGGGTTAAAAATCAGGAAAGGAGTATGTCAGGAATGCATCCTTTCTCCATACTTTTTCACACTATGTGCCGAACACATCATTCGGAAAGCAGGATTTTATGAGGAAGAATGTGGCATCAGAATTGGAGGTAGGCTCATCAACAACCTATTATTATGCAAATGACAAAATTACTTTGCATTCTAAAGCTAAAGAAGACCTGAAGCATATGCTACAGAAGGTCAAGGACTGTAGTCTTCAATATGGATTGAAGCTTAACATCAAGAAGACAAAGATTCTCATCACTGGGCCACTTGGCAGCACCATGATGGGTGGAGAAGAGATTCAGGTTGTTAACAATTACAGCTTGCTCAGCTCCATAATCAACACTCTTAACACTAGCAGTCAGGAAATCAAAAGTTGAATTGCACTGGGAAAATCTGCTGTCAAGGACCTCTCCAGCATGCTGAAAAGCAACAATGTCAGTCTAGAGACTAAGATGCGCCTAATCCAGGCCATGGTCTTCACAATTACTTGTTATACATCAGAGAGCTAGACAGTGTCTAAGGATGACAGAAGAATCAATGTCTTCAAATTGTGGTGCTGGAGGAGAGTCTTGAACCATGGATTGCCAAGAAAGCAAATAGTTCTGTCTCGGAATGGATGAAACCAGGTTTCTTCCTTAGAGGCTAGAATTTTGAAGCTCTTCTAACATACATTGGGCACATGGCCAGGACGGACTGGTCCTTGAAGAAGGACATCATGTTTGGAAGGGTGGAGGGACAGTGCAGGAGAGGAAGACCCAGGTGAGATGGACTAATACAGTGACTGGGGCAATGGGAATTAGTGTGTTGGAATTAATGAAACTGGCTCAGGACAGAGCAGGTTTAGAGCTGCTGTACATAGGGTCACAGGTGACTCGATGGTACATAACAACAACAGTCTTTAAACTGACATCATGCTCTTTACCACTTTGGAGAAGTCCTTTACAGCAGATTTCTCCATTGCAGCATGCCTTTTGATTTCTTCTGTTGTTACCCTGGTTGTTGATTGTAGATCTAATCAAGGTGAAATAGTTCTCAACCTCAATCCCTTCTCCTTCTCTCATGATGTTGTCTATTCTTCTAGTGGTAAGTATTTTTGTTGTGGTGGTGTTTTTTTAATTTTTTAAATTACGTTGTACATTGTCTTCTATACAGTCTTTCATTTACATTGTGTTTTATATAATTAATTACTTTTGAGCTGTGCCTGTTGTTACCCTGTCTCTAGTTCCCATTGAATCTTTCCTATTTGTTCACTGCCTCATCCACCTACTAAACACTGCTATCCTAGTGATTTCCTACTCTCCTCTTTTTCAATCCCCTTCTCCCTTTCCCTTTTCCATTCAGACATTTATACACATCTTAGTAGTGATTGGTCTTATGCCGTATTTCTACTTATGATTCTGGGTTAGTTCATGTGGCATAATTAGTGCTCTCTGGCCTCTCCCATGTTATATAGTATTTTATGAACTCATTGTTCCTTAATGTTGCCTAGTATTCCATTGTGTAACTATACCACAGCTTCTTAATACATTAATTTTTTGATGGACATTTGAGCTGTTTCCATTATTATATTATTGTTATTATTCATATCTCAGTTCTGATATCCTTGGGGTATATTCCTGGGAGCATAGTTGGATCATTGTTGTTGTTCTTATGTGCTGTTGAGTCGCTTGCGACTCATAGCAACCCTATGTACAACAGCCCTACACCCTGCTCTGTCCTGTGCCAATCTCACGGTCTCCGACAAACCCACCCCGATTTTCCCAGTCTCTGAATCAATCCACCTCATAGAGGGTCTTCCCCTCCTGCACTGTCCTTCCACCCTCCCGAGCATCACATCCCTCTCCAAGGACTGGTCCCTCCTTGCAACATGTTCAGAGTATGTTACATGAAGCTTCAGAATCCTTGCCTCCAAGGAGCAGCCTGGTTTAACCCTCCCCCAGGATCGTTTTCTTAGCAGTCCATGGTATATATTCAATACTCTTCTCCAGCACGATAGCTCAAAGGCATCAATTCTTTTATCCTCCCTAGTCATTGTCCAGCTCTCTTATGCATAGCAAGTGACTGAAAAGACCATGGCATGTATCAGGTGCACCTTAGTCTCCAAACTGACATCGTTGCTCTTCAGCACTTTAGAGAGGTTTCTGACTGCAGAATTTCCCATCACAATACGTCTTTTAATTTCCATGTCTACTGGTGCCAAGATTGTTGACTGTGTAGCGAAGCAAACTAAAATTGTGAACAATCTCAATTTCTTCACCATTCATCATGTTGCTGCCAATTGGCCCAGTGGTGAGAATCATTGTTTTCTTGATATTGAGCCTAAATTCATACTGAACACTATAGTCTCTGACCTTCCACAGCAAGTGCTTCAGGTCCTCAGTTTCAGCAAGCAGGGTTGTGTCATCTACATAACACGGACTGTTGATGAGTCTTCCTCCAATCCGGATGCTGTATTTCTCCTCATAGAGCCCAGCCTCCCGGATAATCTGTTCTGCATATCGGTTGAAAAGGTATGGAGATAGGAGACATCCTTGGCATACACCCTTCCCAGTTTTGAACTATGCAGTGTTTTCTTGCTCTGTTCTGATAACTGTCTCCTGGTCCAAGTATAGATTTCACATTAGCATGATCAAGTGTTCTGGGATTCCCATTCTTCTCAGAGTTAGCCACAATTTTTTGTGATCCACACAGTCAGATGCCTTTCCATAATCAATGAAACAAAGATAGACATTCTTCTCGTACTCCCTGCTTTCCATCAAGATTTATCTAACATTAGCTAGGATAGCCCTAGTACCACGACCCCATCTAAACTCAGCCTGCAGTTCTGATAGTTCTCTGTTGATGTGCTGTTCCAATCATTTTTGGATAATCTTCAGCAGAATCTTGGTTGCTTGTGATATCAATTATATTGTTCTATAATTTCCACACTCTGTTGGATCACCTTTCTTCGGGATGGAAAACAATATAGATCTCTTCCAGTCAGTTGGCCAAGTGGTTGTTCTCCAGATTTTTTGGCACAACTTGGTGAGCACATCTAGAGCA